TTTTTTTTAATATGTTTTTCCTACTAATAGTAAATTTTTAACTTTACTCCTCAAATAATGGGGTTGTTGGTGTTTATATTATTAACTAATGGTTGAAAAGTTAATAATAGTTTGCAACTTAAATAAGACTTGCTGGATTCGAACCAACACTATAATGATTAAAAGTCATACGTACTACCAATTGTACCAAAGTCTCTTAATCCTAAAGAATAGACAATACTATTCTTAGGTTATTTGAGGTTATTTGTTCGTTCAGGGCTAGATTCGAACTTACAATAAAAAATAGCTTCAATATTTCACTTTGCGTAGCGCAAGCTATAATTGAATATTTTATTGAGTAGCTCTTATGAAATAAAGCAAGCTCCCTTTTAAATTTTACATAGATAGCGATATACGCTAGGTATGTGGTATCTTCAAGTCGCGGTGGACAAATGTATTGTTTTTAGTATTTCATATGCTACTATGAAATAAACACGAATTTTTCTAAGCAAGCAAGCAAGCAAGCACGCACCCACGTACGCACAAAATTCATGCTGATTTATAGCACAAAAGTTTTTATATAATTATATTTTTATAAGAAATGATATAGAATAACATAATTATGCCCAAGGTGGGATTCGAACTCACGACCTAAACAACTTCAACGTTCCGCTCAACCTCTGAGCTTCTCGAGCTTTATATATATCACTAGTAAATCTAATTTCCTTATTTTTATATTTTTTAAATACTACTATGAAATAAACACTAAAATAATCTTTTTATTAATTGTTACATTTATATAGGATTTAATATGAATAATATTATCCATGATTTTAATGTTAATCTTTGGAGGTATCAAGAATCGAACTCGAATTAACGATATGCAAAATCGCAGTTTTACCAATTAAACTATACCCCCTATGGCTGCGCAACCGCAGCCAATTTAGTTTAATTATATTTTTATATAAGATATACTCTACTGTGTCCAAGGAAAGACTCGAACTTTCAAGGCATTACGCCGATGTGTTTTAAGCACATCATGTTTACCAATTTCATCACTTAGACTTAGGGATAAAGTGAATTGAACACTTACAAGTACTGTTATGAGCAGTATACTCTACCAATTAAGCTATATCCCCTTTATTTATATAATATAATAAATATTTATTATATTATAATTCAAACAATTTTAGTATAAAAATACAACTGTGTGCTGTTCTGTTTTGTTGTAAGCAAGCGGGTACAGGATTTGCACCTTATGATCTTTCGGGCATGAGCCGAATATGCTAACTATTACACCAACCCGCAGTAGACTAGACAGGATTCGAACCTGCGATACTAACATCGAAAGAGTTATGTCTTACCACTTGACTACTAATCCTTAATCTTTTATTCTAGCAAAGCTAGAAAGTAAATTTAAGCACACAGAGCTCAGTACAAGAATCGCACTTGTGTCCATTGATTACAAAACAATCGCATTACTTTTATGCTAACTAAGCGTAAACTTACTTATATATAATAGATATTGTAGTTTCGTAAGAAACTACATACACTACTACCGTACACACATAAAAATTTATATAGATATATTTAAATATAGTGATTTATTAAATTAGTACTTTATCCTTAAAAATCTCAAGATTAATACAAGTTAAGCCTATATAAAATTTTCGTATTGATATAATACGCATATTTAAGAAATATCCAAAGGGAAGCTTCATGCCTATATGCTTTCAGCACTTATCTTTAACAAACTTAGCTTTCCTGCCGTGCCTATGTAATCAATTTATCCTAGTGAAAGAAACATTCTTATGTACAATAGTACAAGTATACATATAAATATGTATATTAATATTTAGACACATAAACAACAGGTAAACCATAGGTTCATAACTATTATCTAATTAGCAAAACTAATTAAATTCTTCTTGTTCCTTTCGTACAAAAGTTCCTTCTTTTTTTATTCTAATTCCCTCTAGAAGATAGAAACCATACTGTCTCACGACGTATTTAACCCAGCTCATGTAACTTTTTAATCGACGAACAGTCGCACCCTACATAGTTTCTGCATCCATGAGGAGAAGTTAAGCCGACATCGAGGTGCCAAACCGCGCACTCATTATGTACACTCTTGCGCAAATTAGCCTGTTCTATTTGTTATCATTTTTTCCATTTTTCTCAGAATGGTTCAGACTATGTCTTCATTTTTATATTATTAATAAAAGATTTAACGATTGTTTCACTAACAATGTTAGCAGTTTTAAAGCTAACCTTTTCTTATTTACCTGCAATTCAACCTTTAACAGCAAAAGCTCCTACACGACGTTTTGATTTAGCTCAAGAATAACTAAGATTTGAATGAGTATTCCCTCTAAATAAAACTGAACTTAAACCTATGTAAGATGAAGCTATATTTTTCAATCCACCCTTTCTCTTTAAAGAAAAAATTGATCTATCCGCTCTATAACGTTTAGTTAATCTACCATTAACTTCTATCTTTATTCCTCTCATGTTTTTATAATCAATTGAGTTATAAATTAAGTTATGTATATTATCTGCGTTGTTATATATTCTTGTGAATAATTCAGAAATATTCCCTTTTTTAGTTCTAGTTACCTTAGTATTACTACCGTCGTATACTGAATCTAAATGAGAAAGAACTTTTAAATCCTTATATTTATTTTGGTATTTATCAAAATTTCCTCAAATTTCTGCCCTAGTTCTTTCTTGTAAAGTATTTGCTGTAGGTAAATATGCTTTATTTAAAACAGCTAACATTCTACGTACATGTCCTTGTTTAATTTTTTTTATTTTTAATGCTAATATCTTTGTAAAAAGATCAGTATTATATGAAATAGATTTTAAATTTATAATATTGTATTCTACTTTTTTTCCTATTATTTTACTTAATAA